AAGCAGGAGCTGTTAGGTAACTTAGTTGGTGATGAAGAAGCCAGGTTTGCCTGGCTCAGGAGTTCAGAGGCTTTTCTGCTGCCTCCTACCTCAAGAATGACTTCTGCATAGGAAGAGTCTGTGCATGGTCCCTACCCTCTTTCCACCTAATATCACTTTATGAGGGGCCTTGTGATTAGAGGGTGGCCTGGATCCAGACTGGCTGGGGCCTGAATCCTATGTCCACCACTTAGGAGCTGGAGAACCTCTTTCTGTCTGTGCAGATAAGGATCTACAAAATGGAATAATCATAGCTACCCCCCCTTTTTTTTAAACAAACATCTTTTTTTAAAAAAAAATTGATTTCTGCCAGGACCAGTTTGGCTCAGTGGATAGAGCGTCGGCCTGCGGACTGAAAGGTCCCGGGTTCGATTCCGGTCAAGGGCATGTACCTGGGTTGCGGGCACATCCCCCGTGGGAGATGTGCAGGAGGCAGCTGGTCGATGTTTCTCTCCCATCGATGTTTCTAACTATCTATCTCTCTCCCTTCCTCTCTGTAAAAAATCAATAAAATATATTTAAAAAAAAATTGATTTCAGAGAGGGAGAGGGAGAGAGAAACATCAATGATGAGAGCGGATCATTGATCGGCTGCCTCCTGCATGCCTCTAACTGGGGATCTAGCCCACAATCCAGGCATGGGCCTTGACCAGGAATCCAACCATGACTTCTTGGTTCATAGGTCGTTGCTCAACCACTGAGCGACACCGGCCGGGAATTTCCCCTTTTTGAGCACTTAACTGGAGTTGATCTCCCCTTCGTCTGGTTATGCAGATCATTGCGTTTAATATTCAGGACAACCCTACTAAAGTAGAACCTCACAGGGTTATTGAAAGGCGCTTATATGAGTGGTAGTGGTCATGGAAACATTGTTGTGTGGACCGTGGGCCAAAGCAGTTCATTTTAGCCATTCCCTCTTGCTGGATGTTCACAGACCTGGGGAGCAGCAGTCAGAGCCTGCACTCTGGAGTTAAACTCCTGGCTCCCACCTGATTATCATTTAGTGACTTTGAGCAAGTTACTTGACCTCTGAGCCAACTGCTAAATTGTTGGGAAATTGGGGAGCTGGTTGCTAAACCATACCTACCTTGAAATGGGCTATTGTTGGATATTTATATCATGGAAATGGGCAAATGCTAACAATCAAGTCTCTCCCCTTGCATGTGGGCAGGTTGCACCCCAGAAAGGTTGGGGGCAGTTTTAGGGACACCAGTGGGATGTACCACTTTCAGGACTACGCATTTGAAGCCTGATGAAATGTGGTTAGGTCGCTGGTAGAGAGATCAGTAGCTAAAAAATCATGATTTGGTATTGGATGCCTGGCATCCAAGGGCCTGATTTCCTTATGCTTTTTAGGTTTAAAGTGCCCACCCCCCCATGGGAAAGGACAAATTAGGTCCTGCCAGTTTGGTCTCATCCAGCAAAAGAAGGAGCCAGTGAGAAAGGGATGTTGTGGGCCCCGAGACAAAGGTACTTGAAGCTAGCCACGTGATCCACAGGACCCTGTATTAATTGTGTGTGTGTGTGATTCTTTTTTAAAATTAAAAAAAAATATTTTTATTGATTTCAGAGAGGAAGGGAGAGGGAGAGAGAGATAGAAACATCAGTGATGAGAAAGAATCATTGATCAGCTGCCTCCTGCACGCCCCACACTGGGGATCAAGCCCGCAACCTGGGCATGTGCCCTTGACGGGAATCGAAGACACTGTCTTTAATCGAAGACACTGGAGGGTTTGGTATTCCCAGCCCCTAATTCCAAGGTTTCAAGTGGGATTCCCTTATTCTCCTTCCTGAGGTTCCTCAAAACGTGTTCAACAACCACATGGGGGCAGAGGGGGAAGGAGCTCTCTCCAGACCCTTCCGTGCAGTCCTGGGGACCGCAGCCCTCCAGGTGCTTCTCATGTCCCTGAAAGTGTGAAGACCCCCTGAAGGATCCTGCCCACCCACCCTGTCCCCCGGCAGCCACCTGCACTATTGATGGCAACTGTGATGCTGCTTAGTTGAAAAGCAAAGCCAAGGCCAAAGCCACAGTCCTGTGACCTGACCGAGGCCCTGGGAGGGGGGGGAAGACCGGGGGCGGGGGAATCCCCATCTGCCAGCCAGGCCTCTCAGCCCTCCCCCGGTCCTGTTATGCATTATCCCATTAAACTTTTGGGCCCAGATTCAGATTTATTGCTGGGCTTAAGTTTTTATTTAAAGAGGACAGTTGACATAGCAATTTTAATGTCTTTGTTTTAACAACCCAGCAGCAGAGCAGTCTTGGCGCCTGGGACACTCTCCCTGCAGCACGGCCCTGGCCCTGGTCTTGGGGTCCAGGGAGCGTGGAGCAGGGACACAGAGAGGCTGGGCTGGGCTCAGGGGCGTTGTTGATTCGGGCGTGGTCAGCGCACAGCCAGTGGAGTCCCGGTGCCAGCTCGGAGCACCACCCAGGGCGGCCTGTGGACGGTGGGTGGAGGAGCTCATGGTGCTTTATGGATTTTCACTGACTTAGCAGTGAGCGGCGGTCTCCTTTCCTCACTGTTAGGAATTTTGGAAACCCGGACAGGTGCCCATTTCCTGGGTGAACTGAGTCACTTCCCTCCTGTGGCTGAGTAATCCCCAGGCCCCTTCCCCCCACTGGGCTCTGGGAACTTGCTGTTTAAATTTTACTAAATTTACTCTCACCAGCTTCTTCTGCTTCCCCCAGATAGCTCTCCCCGACAGCTGCCCCAGCGGTGGCTGTGGGGGCTGAGGGGCCCCGGCCGGGGACAGCGGCAGCTCCTCGATAAGGACTGTCAGGAGGCGTCCACTGGGCTGAAACAGCCCCTTGCAGACTTCCGGAGACAAATTGCCCTTCCAAGCAAGTTCCCATCTCTCAAGGGCCCTGCGTGTGGGTCAGCTTTTCTCTCTCCTCTGCGGGGTGCTCAGGGACCCCTAATCGGGCCTGCCCAGTTCCATTCCCCCCTCCCAGCTTTGCCCCTGGGTGGCTAGACATTCCCACCTCGGTGCCTTTGCTCCTGAGGGTGTCCCCTGTCTGGCAAACCTGCTCTTCCAGGCCTCCTGCCGCCCCCACCCCTCTCTCCCTGAAACACAGCCTGTCCATGGCAGCTTTCCCTGGGCAGCTGCAGAGGCCCCGGGGCAGGGACTTGTCCGGAGCTGCCCATTTCCAAAGGGACAGAGCAGGGACCTCAGATCTGTGACCCACCTCCAGAGCTCCCTCACACAATATCTATTTAGTCATCTCATTAAAATATATTTAACCCGGCCATTGTGGCTCAGTGGTTGAGCGTCGACCTATGAACCAGGAGGTCACACTTCGATTCCTGGTCAGGGCACATGCCTGGGTTGTGGGCTCGATCCCCAGGGCGGGACATGCAGGAGGCAGCCGATCCATGATTCTCTCTCATCATTGATGTTTCTATGTCTCTCTCCCTCTCCCTTCCTCTCTGAAATCATAAATATATTAAAAACTAGATATGTATTTAGAGAATGAAGATGGAGATGACTTTTTCCTTTCCTGCCTCCCTCCCTCCCTTCTTTCTTTTCTTTCTTTCTTTCTTTTTTTTTTTAACTTTCTTCCTTTCTCCAGATGGGACGTTAAAAGCAACGCCATCATCAACCATCTTTATCATTCCACAAATGCCAGGATGCCTTAACTCCCCAGATAGTAGGAAAGATATAATCTCATGTAGAGAACTATTGTGCTACACAAGAATCTTCTACTGAAAGGCCCTGGGTGGAGGAGAGGAAGACCTGCCCTGCTGTCCTCCCTCCGGTAGCCCTGGAATTTTGCACCATGTACATAAATGTTATCTTCTATTAAAAAAGGAAAACCCACCAAAATCCCAGACTGTCTTTCCTCCGTCCACACAGCTTACTTGGTTTTTCTTTTTCTTTTCTTTTCTTTTCTTTTTTTTTTGATTCTTACCCGAGGATATTCTTTCCATTGATTTTTAGAGAGGGGCCGGGGGGAGAGAAACATCGATATGAGAGAGACATATCGATTGGTTGCCTCCTGCACGATCCCTGACCAGGGCCGGGGATTGAACCTGCAAACCAAGGCATGTACCCTTGATCCGGAATCGAATCCATGATCCATCATTAGACCACTGAGCAAAACCAGCCAGGGCTCACGTGTTATTCTTCTTCTCATTTCTTCATGGACCAGTGAGGAAAACTTCATGCCTGCCTGTGGCACTGCCGGCAGATGGCCACTGGGGAACTCCTGGTCTCAACTTCTCAATTAATTTTCAGTTCTGTGAGAAAAGGGGGCCTGCCTTTCATTTTTTACGTCTTTCACAGCCCCTTCCTTTCCAGGCTCTCCAGCCAGACAGCCTCAGGTTGGATCCTAACTCGTCTGCTTCCTTGCCTGCTCCTTGGGAGCAAGTTATTTCACTTCTTTGTGCCTCAGTTTCCTCATCTGTAAAATGGACCAACAGTGCCCCCGACCTCCAAGGGTTGTTGGGAAGTTGCGATGGGATCTAGTAAGTGCTCGGGAAATGCCAGCTAATTTTACAACTGTTATTCTCCTCTCTGCTTGCCCCCAAATGGCAGACACAGCTCTGACTCTCAACAAATGCAGTCTACCCGGCTGATACTGGAGGGAAAGTCACTTATGTGCCTCGAGGTAGGGGGCGAGGGAGAGTGACACAGAGCCGGAGAGCGAGGGCCCCTTATGAATAAATATTGGTTCTGGTGGAAGCCCGGGGGCTTCTGGAAAGTGAAAACCATGACAGGGTCTTCGCGTTCACCCCCGAGACGGGGCTCCTGGGGGCAGGTTTATTTTCTCTGGGCCTTTGCCTAGAGAGTGAGGATTCCAGGGAGGCTACAAATAACAGCCCGGCCGTCGTACTTCCTTCCCTCTGGTAGAAACTAAAAACCAGTGGCCATCTGTTGTTTAGTCCACTCAAAAGAGGATGTTGAGGTTTGTTTTTCCTTCGGACCCAAGGGTGCTTGGGAGCCCTGCAGCCCCGGCCTGTCTCACACGAAGCGCCTCTGAGAAGGCAGCGGGTTTGGGGCTGCCCGGACCTCCCCCGGTGGACCCCGGAGCATGGAACGTAAGGAACGGCCCCCAGCCTCTGTGGCAGGTGCCCTCGGTTCGCCCGCCCCCCTGGGTGCTGGCAGGGCGGAGAGGGGCCGGGGCCGCGTGGGGTGCAGGCAGGTGCACAGGTGGCCTTTGGAGGCACAGCCTGAGCGCGAGGCTTTCTCGGTGGCCTCGGGCCTCCTGTGAAACTGCCGATGCCGCTTCTGAGCCGAGCCAGCCCTCCGCACACTGCCCGCGCTGCTCTTTGACGCTTGCTCCTATTATGATTACTGCACACTTTTTTATTGTTATTCTTTTCGGCTAATTGCAGTTCACGCTAACCTCCCCGCCCAGGGAATTGCGTGCCTGATGGGTAATTATTCTCAGAAGCTAGAGACTGGAGCTGACAAACGCTTAAGTGATATTTAGAAGATAGAGTGTTTCCATGACCCAGTTTCTCCAGAGCAGCAGTAGATCACGGGTCCTAATGAACCCATTCGCTGCTCTGGAGTCGGGGTGACTTTTAAAAAAATGTAGCATGTTTGATGTGGTGGAGGTGATCTGGGGTTTCAATACGTTTTGTGAGGTGTGTACTTTCCCTTGAGTATCTTAAAGGAGTATGGTGTATGCGCACATGTGTGTGTGTGTGTGCGCACGTGAATGTGTGTGTGTGTGTGTGCGTGTGTGTGTGTGTGTGTGTGTGTGTGTGTGTGGCACCAAACCGCTTTAGAATTTAGGGTTAACCCTCCTGTCTTTTCCTGGGCTTGAATGTTTAGTTTATTTTCTTTCATGTGCTGTGGGTTTTAGGGGTAATTGGGACAGGCCCTTTGAGGGTGTAAGTTGACTCTGCTGTTGAAGGCGCTGGATTTTGAGATTTTTTTTTCTAAAATATTATGTGACTTGGGGAAGTTGTCCATGCAGGATCACGGCCCAGACCTTCCTGCAGACTAGCAGCAGGAATCCCTACTGTGAGCATTCGGTTGTGATGAGCGTTCCAGATGCCTTTGGAATATGGATTTCCAGGGCAGTGGTGTGCGGAGAAGGTCTCTGGTAGAGGTGACGTCATGGCAGCTGTGAATAATGCATGGCACCATATGCTGCCAGCACCCAGCCTCAGCCATCTGCACCCGGAGGCCGCGCCCTCTTTGACACAGTGGCTTTTACTGAAGCCAGAAACCACACAGAGCAGCATGAATGTAGATGGAAAGTGTACGTACATGTGTTTGCATGTTAGGTGGTGCTGGCACAGTCTCAGGGGAGTTTTTGTCTGCGCGGAATTGGACTCTTACCCAGTTTTCTCAGGCCTCTCCCCGCAGTGTAATTGTGATCATCACTTGAGGGCCGTCAAGTTCTGGCCTCTGTGAGTGTGACGATCAGCAGACATCAAGGATAAAAATGATAGTACAGCCTGGTGCTCAGGGGCAGGCACTCTGGAGCAGGACTGTCTGGGCTTGACCATGATTCCGTTTCCTAGCTGGGCCGCCTTGTACGTTACGGTGCCTCAGTTTCCTCACCTGGGAAGTGGGAATAATATTAACCACATCAGAGAGTCACCGTAGGACAGAATGACTTAACCCATGTGAAAAGCTTAGGACATGGTAAACAACGTGTTTATTATTAGCTAATGACAGGTTAATCTGAAAATAAAGTTACTGAAAAATAAGTATTGTGTCTGCAAAAATTGAAGGTCTAAAATGCCTTCAAGAGCCCAAGAGGTACAGAAACCATTCTTTTTTCATTACAAAAATGTCCTACAATTGAACTAAAGAACAACAAAAAATAAACAGAGCTGGACACACTTAAAACAGATGTTGTCACCAACAGCTCCTTCTTAGCTTGAGGTTCTTAAGAAAACAGGTGTAACTTCTCTCCCTCCGGTGCATTCCAAGCCCACCCTGTGGAATCCATCTCCAGTGGACACTTATCAACGAAGAAGGAGAGAGGAATCTCAGGCCTTTGTGGCTCCAAGTGCCAGGAGTTGGGAAGCCGGGTTTTGCTTTATCCTTAAGTCCAGAGAGCAAACCAGCCGGCGGTGGAGAAAGGTTATTTCTATCTCCTGTGCATTATTGGGTTGACTGTAACATTTAGAGTGAACTGGGATGGCTTAGGAAGCCTTTAGTTACCTACACCAGAAAGTAGCGGACGTCTGCTGAGCAGGGGACAGACCCCGAGAAACGGAAATGCTGAGCTAGGGGGTGGTCTCTAGGGCAGGCCAAATGGAGTGGACCTCTGCTCAGTCTCATCGGAGGTCAGGGATAACGGCTTGGAAAAGAGAGACACTGTTCAGGAAATGGAGTTTGCAAATGCTGATCTGTCCAGATCGATCGATCGATCTATATTAATACCAGTCAAGAAGGATTATAGGAAAGAAGGCATAACCCAGAGCCTGAATCAAATCGAAAGACAATCAGGTTCCCTCCAGCCGTTCCTTAGCTGGGTCACCTCTCCTAGGACATGTACCCTTTGCACCTGTATTTCCCAGGCTCTGTAGAATAAGGCGCCTGGATTCCATGAGTGGGTTCTGAATTATAAAACCTTTTGTTCAAATGAAAGCTGTTGCGGAAACCTAACATGCAAAAGGGCTAGAATATGGACTAGAGGGCGAGGGGGCGGTACCAGCTGTCCAGGGGTGCGGACAGCTGCCTCACCTCTCCGTCAACCGCAGCACTCTTGTAGGTGAATGGGACTCCACCGACTGTGTGCATTTGCATGATAGCACGTCAGTGAAAACCCAAATGGTGGTTTGGTTTATGATGGAAAAGAATGTCAAGAGTTTTGGAATCCTTTGAGGTCAGGGTTGAAAACGCAGGGCCCAACCGGTGGTTCTGCAACAGGGAGAGACACGCCCAGCCGCCTGAGGTTGTTCCTGGAGCCGCCAGCTTGTGTCTCTGCATTTATTTACTCAAGAGGGGCTCTGCTGGGGAAATGGAGTCAGCTGACCAGCTGCGTCCTCCGGGTCAGGGACAGAAGAGTAAATTAGTGAGGTGCCCGGCAGAACGAACGCTGTTGCAGAAATGTCTGATCACAACGATCGTTTAATTTGATTTACACTTCGCTGGGAAGAAGCTCCGTGTTCCGCGGCTTGCCACGCCAGCTAGCCTTTGCAGGGAGTGCAGGAAACTAATGTAACAGCCGAGAACTGAAGATTCACTTGAGAGAGGCGTCAGATCCATTTGTGATGTGCTCGCATGAGTTCGCTTCTCCATTAAAGGAATGGATTTGTCCCAAATCGTTCCCGTCCCGCACTCCATCACCAGTGCGTATCGAAACACAGCCTTCCGTGGGGGTCCTGGCTTCCGCCTAATTTAACCCAAGTCAGCCCGAGGCTGTCTAAAATCCTGGTAGTTTCCCCAGCTGCTGGGGGACAGAGCCTCGGCTGCTTGAGAAAGTAAAGCGTGTGTTGACCCCCAGTAGAACACGAGAGGTCACGGAAGCTGAATGACTGCTAAGTCCAATGTATTCTGATACAACTTTCCTCCCCAAACACCCTAGTTATTCACAGGTCAGCATTTATAAGGCTCTTTCATTTATCCTTTTCAAGTCATTTGCTTGGCTGATTTGTTATTTATTTTTCAATTATAGTTCACGTTCAACATTATTCTGTATTAGTTTCAGGTGTACAGCAGAGTGGTTAGACAATCCTATACTTTACAAAGCGTTCCCCCCAATTTGGCCGATTTCTTCATTAAAAGCTGATTTCCTCCCAGATTCAAACTTTTCTTTGTAGAAACATGTCTCTACTTTGAAAGGAAAAAAAAAAAGGCAACGGAGAAAAAAGTATTAGCTACAAAAATAGTTCACTCGATACATTATTTTAAGGAAGGGGAGAGAGGAACTGACATTTGTTGGGAGCCCACTGTGAGCTTCAGGTGCCCCTTCCTCTTTTAATCCTTTGGGGAACCGGAGCCACAGGGGGGTTGTCTGTATTCCTTGGTCGCACAGTTTGAATTGGCCAAACTGGGTGTGAAACCCGGGCTCATCCCAGTACATTCCACGGTTTCCCTCGACTCCAGGAGGGGGCCGGATCCTGTAGACGGAGACGTGTTTGTGGTGTCACTTCCTCCTTCAGGCAAGTAGCTACAGTGTGCGAGTTGGAGATCCCCTGTGCCCCACCCCTCAGTCAAGGGGCTTTTGAGGTGTCTGGAGTGAGAGAGGGCAGCAGATGGGCGGGTACAAAGAGTCATTCAGTCCTGCGGTCCGTGCACGTGGTTAATAGCGTGATGCCGAGCCATGCTGGAGCCTGGGGAAAAAGGAAAAATCAGTAATAACGACCCCGCCTTTATTTTCAATGTTGGTATTTTGCTCATTATGGAATGTTTTGCATTCATTTTTTTCAAAATATTGCATGAAAATATCATTTATCTTGATGCCCGAGTGTTTTGGCAGCTCCTTTAAACTTTGCACCTGTGGCAGGGCCTCCTTTGCCCCAGCCTAGCCCCGGCCCTGGTACATACTGTTATTTGTGTGCCAGGCAATGAGCTACATGCTGGAGACACAATATAGAGATACACAGGAGCTTTCAGATGAGAAAGAGTCCGTTAAGCCAATAGAAACAGCTCAACATGATCATTATAAGACAGAAAGTGTAATGGGGAAGGAGTCTCTATTGAGCCCAGGTGCCTGGGAGGGTGAGACTTGCGGGCTTCCTGCGTTTGGCCGGTGGACACATGGGTGGGGGAAGGATGTAAGGGGAATGTCAGGAAATGACAAGTCTCTTCATCGCTCTGAGCCTCAGTTTTCCTCGTCTGTACAATGGAGGGAACGGTAGCGCCTCCTTCATATTGTCAGGGCTAGAGTGAGTTCACCGGGTTAAGTGCCTAGAGTAGATTCTGGCACCTAACTTAGAATCTGTTAGCCACAACGGTGATGATATGCAGATATTTCTAAATGATAGTATCCATGGGTCACACACACAGTCTACACTTTGCTTTGCAGACATCCACGACAGTGATGGGAGTTCCAGCAGCAGCCATCAGAACCCCAAGAGCACAGCCAAGTGGGCGGCCTCCCTGGAGAATCTGCTCGAAGACCCGGAAGGCGTGAAGAGATTTCGGGTTTGCCTTTTTCATTGAGGTTTAGATGGGTGTGTGGGGAAGCACAGGCCAGTTTTTAACACTGTCCCAACCCAAGAATAAGAACTTCTCACCTGTCGATGCCAACATGGAAAGTCATGGGTAGTCATGGACCAGCAGCGAGGGCCATGCACAGGGCGTTTCTGGGTTTCATATAGCTGAATGGGAGCGGGTGGGACAATGGGGAAGACATACCATGTTCATTGACAGGATCTACAAAGAATGTCCAGCTCTGTGATACCTGGGAGGGACGGTCTGCATCTTTCTGATGAGAGGAGTTGTTCTTTTGTGTGTTGGGATTATTAACAGGGTGAGACAGGCAAGACAACAGCTGGCAAAGTGAAGTTGAACTTCAAGAGGAAGCTGATGGATGGGGAAGCATCAGTGCTGCCTAGAAATAACTTTTTTGGCCACCGGTAACCCCAGGTGTCAAGAGAAGATTGTGTGAATTTGAAGAGTACCCTGTATCTGCCCGAGTTCCACCGGAGTCTGTCCTTAAGTCTGGGGTCTTAGGAGGGGGTGGCAGTCAGGGCTACTAATATTCCTGGACACCAGGCCACTGTGAACTTGGTCTAGATCTCATGGAGGACACTTTTCTGTGCCACGAATCCCCAATATCTGCCAAAAGAGAAATATATACACCTCCAACTTAAAATAGTTTTCACCATGACCTTTTTGGACATGCTTAATGTATTTTCTTTTGTTTTGTTTAAAAAATGGGCCTGATTTTAGAGGAATGTACTTTGTTTAAACATTGTCTGGAAGGAACCAATATATCTTCCACTTTAATTTACTTTCTGGTAATTTATTGTTAGCTTAGAATTGTGAGGAGATGCTTGCTTCATTTTTACTCTTCCTTACAATGTCAAAGCCATTACGTTCAAATGCAGATGAAATTCTAGCTTTAACATTAAACAAAAGCTTTGTTTTTCAGGGTGGACTTTTCATGCTCATGTTTTGGATTTTACCAAATCAACCCTTGAAGGGAAATGTTTGTTTGTTTTTTAAAATAGAATACTGTTTTATGCATTCTTTTTTTCTCTGTATCCATAGGAATTTTTAAAAAAGGAATTCAGTGAAGAAAATGTTTTATTTTGGTTAGCATGTGAAGATTTTAAGAAAACACAAGATAAGAAGCAGGTATTTCTTCCACTTTGTAATTATATTCTCCATAATGTTTTTTCTGTCCTTACAAACTTACAGCTGCCTTTCCCAATATATTGTGAAATTGCCTAAGGACATCTGATCCCTATTGGATTAGGGGGAAGATTTAAGCTTCAGATCAGGTATCCTGTGTTACTCAAATATTCAGAAATTTAAAAAGAGGGTGCCAATCCTTGTTTAAATGGAGCTGTGCAAATGGACAAATACTTAAAGAAAAAATAACGATTTGTCAGAGTTCATCACCACGTACGATTTTTTTCTTTGTGAATAAGTTATGTGGCTGCTCCCCTGTGTTTGACATGTCGGCGTTTTGTACAGACGTAGTAAAATGACAAGCAGATGTGACGATGAAAGCAGTGTGTCTCGGATGGATTGTCAATTATTCACTACATCTTTATGAAACATCCTGTAGTTGGCAGGCATCCCACATAAAACGTTTCTGACTGTTCTGGGTAGATATGTGCTCTTTGCAGGCAGTAGCCTTTCATTCCAATGTCAGCCAGTATTTTTACCATTGAAAGTGGTATAAGGGGAGGAGGAGGAGATTATGGGGAAGGAGGCCTGTGGATTGGGGGTGTTTATGAGGCCTGTGACTGTCTATTTCTTTTTCTTTTTTTTTGGACTGTATTTCTAAGAGGCTACCAGCTAAATGCTTACAGGGTCCAGGAAGTAATGTACATGAGGGAGGCTTTTGGTGTGAGGCTGTAGGGAGTGGTGGGGCCTGGGGCCATCAGGGGGCAGCTGCCCTGGCTCCAGGAGCTGCAGCTGGCTGCTGAGCTGACTTTGGCAGTGAACACTTTGGGATCTGTGGCTCCTGGGCTTCCCCTGCTTCAGGTTCTGCCCACTTGGGTCTTCACTTGCCCACCCTTGCTCCCAGACACCCAGGGGCCTTTCTTCCTAAGGCATTTCTCTCGTCTTCAGCCCGGTGCTGCCTGTTTCTCCAGAGAAGCTAAACATTTGGAATTTGATGTGAACCGTCCAATATTGTAGAATTAAAAAAAAAAAGTAAAACCTTGCCTGCCAAACAAAACACATCCACGGGCAGATGTGGCTGGTGGGCTGCCAGTTATTGCACATCTGTCTCCAAAAGCTGGAATCCAGCAGTCATCACGTGTTTGCAGGCCACAGCCTGGGAAATGGCCATTGGTTTACTCAGAGGCTCTTCTGGACTCAGACACACTTTCCCCACGACGGAGCGGGTGGCCTTCCTCTCTGAGGGGCAAGGATGGGTTCTGAGGTAGCATCCCTGGAGCTTGAATTGCCTGAGTCGGCCTAGAAAGCCATCCGGGACACGGCTATGGGCATGTACTTTTGTCAGCTTCTATTCCCTGGATGGCTCTGCCTGAGCCTCCTGGGTGGTGAATGGCCTCAGAGAGCAGGAGAGAGGGCCTGCCTCGGAAAGCTAGGGTGCTGGCTGCAGCCTTGCAGGCAGGAGTGCCCCCGGCGCCCAGGGACAACCTCGCATAAATGCTGGATTGTGCCGTTGATTTGTCCGGCATCACCTGAAACCCTAGCTCAGAGTCAAACAGAGAAACAGACGCCCACCCCTCTGCCTGCTCTTTCTGTGTTGGAGGTGAGAGGGGCCTGGAGGTTGGCCAGCCCACCCATCCCTGGGCAAACCAAGAAGTTGAGGTTCCTTTTTGGCCAAGCTGACACTTGGACCAGCGCCCCGAGGCCACCCCATCGTTTTCCCTGCAGACCATGCTGGTGTGTCCTTCAGTTCGGCTGAGCTCACCGATCTTTGTGGAGTGCCTGCTCAGGGCCAGGCCTTGAGAAAAGCACGAGAGACACACAGGGACAAGACAGATGAGCTTCACTGGGGAACGGGCGCTGGGAAGGGAAGGCGCTTGTTAAGCCTCTGCAAGTGAGCCTGGAAAGGGAAGTGCAGGTTCTGGGAGCACAGGCCACGGCAGTCTGGGAAGCCCCCAGGGGAAGTGACTTTTAAGCCAACATGACAGGGAAGTGGAGTTTGGGGCTGGGGTCGTGTTCCTGGAGGAGGGGGCAGCATGTGGGGAGGAATTCCTGGAGAGGAGAGTGAAGGTAGACCAGATGGCTGACGGTCATGCTCTGCTGTGCTCTTTGGCCTGGCTCTACCGTCCTGGAGGCTGGCGGGCGGGCGGGGCCACACCTGGAGAACCTGGGCACGGAGGTGAACACTGGAAAGCCATGTGGTAGGTTGCATTAGCCCATCCACATCCTACAGACAGAGCTTCCAGAATCCGGCAGCCCCTCTCGGCCCCCCCTGCACACCCCCTAGACTATGAGTCCTTGAAGGTTTGTGTCTTTCCGCCTGGAATGTGCCTGGTGATTGCTCCAGTGCAGTGAATGCTGCCTCGCTGTCGGCTGCCTGAGGAGGCGGGCGGTCCTGGAAGGGGAAGCATCAGGCGTCCACACCTGTCTGCATGAGCCTCAGGGCGACTCCCCTCCTCCCAGGGGCTGTGGTTGGAAGGTGACGCAGCGGCTTGCCCACGGCCGCCAGTGTGGTGCGGACAGAGCTGCGGACAGCCAGGATGCAGACCGGTCTCCCACTCCAGGGCCTGGGAAGTCGCTAGTGTGTCTGGCTGCAGGGGAAGTAAAACCTCGAGTAAGTTCCAAGTCACTAATTTAGAAAAGCGGAGGAGGACCTCAGCACGGGGAGAAGTCGGCCCAACTGAGTTTCACAATCAGACTGACGGCATCTGGAGTTTGGTGAGGGTTCATCTCTACAGTGAACTGAGGCGGTTGTGGGATCACGGGAACCTCACTTTTGCCTCCATTACTTTGAATGGGACCCATACTGGTTGGTTTGCCGTTCTTTTTCTAGGTTCATCCACCCGGCTCTCTCCTTAGCACTTCCTGATTTATCTGGTCTCTTGTATAATTTCTTTATTCATCTTCTGATGGTTGGCTTTCCCCTCTGTATTGCAGGCTCCTAAGGTTTGAGATCTTTGTCTGTCTTCTCCCCCAGTGTATCCACGTGCCTGGGCCAGTGCCAAGGCACACGGGACTTCCAGCTCTTTCCACTCAGGTCAGGCGGCACCTACCCTCCAGGCGATGTTGAGGGAAACTAGCCTCCTCTCTCTCTCTCTGTGCTGTTGTTGCAGCCTTGGACTTGAGAGTTGAACATGAGTCTATCCTGCTGGGGCTCGTATGCTCAGAGGCTCCGAACAGTGGGAGCTGTGTCTTCACTGTCCTCCGGGCCTGTGATTCGCCCCCGACAGGCAGGAAGCGCCCCTTGGTTTGGGAGGGTCTTGATCTCTGCATTTCTGGTGGGGGTGCTGGGGCTGTAGGAACTTGTGAGGGTGATGCCCCCTACCCCACCCCCCGTGGGGTTCCTGGGGTGGTAGTACCTTCTAGGTGTTCAGCAAGCAGCATGCAAAACAGATCCCTCCCTTTGCACTGTCTTTGTGGTTTAACATTTTTCTGTCAAATGCCTCTTCCCTGTGAATTAGCATGTGAGCTATATCTATCTTCTACAACAAAGCAGCATTTACATTTTACAAAACCTCAGAAAAAAACTCCAGCAAGGTGCTCATTCTTTGGCTACTCCTGAATTCATTCATTCATCCATTCATTCATTCATTCATTCACTCACTCATTCCTCAGCACATGTCTTCATTGCTGTTAGGAATCAGTATTTTATATGGAAGCTAATTTGTTTTCTTTTGGGCCAGTTGACTCTGTGCCGAGGATGGAAATGGATAGGGCAGCCTGTACAGATTTGTGAAAACCAAACTGAGAGTGGGCGTGGCAACGCCGTGGGGTGGGACGAGGTTTCTCACCAACAAAGCTCTGAGAGTGGCTTGCACTGGCATTGAAATAGGACGAAACCTTTATTTACTTTTATGTATTTTAAGATGTCTTTCTTAACAATTAGGTTGTTCATTCCTCTTTGCCTTCTTCTTCACTGTTTTCCTGGACACAGTTCACCTGGTCCTTGATACTTCCTCTGTCTTGCAAGTTTTGGCCTTCTCTCTTGGTTGGCTCATGCCTTGACATCTTGAGAACAATTATCCACTTCAGGCAAATGAGCACTCCAGTATCCACCACCATCAATCCCTCGCACAATTTTAGTATGTGGGCTGCCGAAGCGAGCATGGATAATATCTTTTAGAGTTGACAGAGTTATGGGGGGGAGTCTATCATATTTATTATTGTTATTGTGTCTTACTTAACACTAAAACTTGATCTAGGATTTTAGAGTGCTTGATATTCTTATTGAAAGTAATGGTAAAGGTTTTCCTAAAAGGCTGAAACACCACCTTCTTTATTTAAGAAATAAAAGTATTTAAAAATTCCAAAAGTGACATGTGCACTCCTCAGATGAAATCCATTCATTCACAGGCGGATGCCATGGGCAGGGCCGTTCCCTTCGCCGCTCAGCACCCTACAGAGCTCCCTCTGTGTCTTTCCAACCTTCGTCTTTCAACGTGGACTTGGCCGGGTCCAGGCCGAACTGCTCAGAGCTCAGAGGCTCTCCACGTGGTCTCGGGCCTGCCCAGCGCCTCCATCCCTTCCTTCCTTCCTTCCCTGCTCACGTATCGTTTTCAGATGTTGTCTGCCACTTCCTCTTCCTATCATTGAGGTTTCACTTACTTACATCCTGTCTGCTGCATTTTCATTACGAACATATGTATTGTTTGTCGTCTGCTGCTGAGCCAAAGAGAACGCTCCAGTTACATTTTTCTTCTTGCACCATTTTTCCGCTTTTCTTCTCTTCACAGTCCTTTAAAGTGCTTCGCGATGCGATGTCGCATGGGCTCAGACCTCTTAGCTCATGGCTCAGCCCGGGTTCACCTGGGGACAGTCCTCCAGGGCCCTCTGACCTCAGCTCCCTGGGTCTTCCTGGGCCACCACTGGCCATGCCCTTTGCCCTCTCCTGCTTCCTGGCCCCAGGTCCTCTGTCCTGAGTCACTCGCTCACTGCCTTGGAGCACGGCGGGCAATCGCCTCCTGAGAAAGGGGACACGGAAGGTAGACGTTTAAAGATCTTGTTGA